GTCTTGGAGATCTGAAGAGGTTCGATAACTTATTTGTCGCATTTTTTATTTTTTATTTTTTATTTGTATTATTTTTTTCGTAATAGGATTGATTTTTTTTCTAATAATAGTTAATAGATTTATTACGAAATGTCTTGGACCAACACGCTTTCTCTCTTCAATCTGCACAATTGATACGAACGTGAAATTATGACGATGAGATATATAATATCGTCTCTCGTCATCCACGAGGTGCTCCAAATTGGACCTATGTGGAGCAGAATACGCCGGCCGATTCCGACTTTTCTGAGCCGGAGACGCCGATTCAAATGATGGAGAATCTAATAATGGCGGAAGATGCAGAAGTATCGGCGGAGATGGACGAAATAGTGGTAATAGAAGATTCGGAACCAACGGGAATGGAAGAATCGAAACCAACGGAAATGGAAGAATCAGAACCAACGGGAGTGGAAGAATCGGAACCAATGGGAGTGGAAGAATCGCCGGAAATGGAAGATGAAACAGACAAATGGTATAAATTTGTACTTTAATTTTTGTTTGAATTTTTATTATACTAACTTTTTTTTTCGAATTTTAGATTGTGAATTCGTCAGTTTTTTTTGGATTTTTTTTTGAAAATTATGGGATTTTTTGTGGAATTGTGGATTGAATTTTTCTATTTTCGTAGGAAATTTTTATTAATTTAGTATTATTTCGTATTATTTTCGTATTGTTTACGTATTATTTACGTATTATTTTTGTATTATTGTTGTAGGAAATTTTTATTATTTTCGTATTATTTTAGTATTATTTTCGTAGGAAATTTTTATTATTTTAGTATTATTTTCGTATTATTTTCATATTATTTTTGTATTATTTTCGTAGGAAATTTTTATTATTTTAGTATTATTTCGTATTATTTTAGTATTATTTTCGTATTATTTTAGTATTATTGTTGTAGAAAATTTTTATTATTTTCATATTATTTTAGTATTATTTTCGTAGGAAATTTTTACTATTTTTGTAGGAAATTTTTGCGATTTAATTGATTTAATTAAAATAATTGGTAAATCAATTGAAATAAAATCAGTTTTAAAACTTAAATTTGCTAAATTTCGTCAAAATTATTATGGTCGATTTTATTTATTTTTGCAAATCGGCAAATTAAATCAATATCGATTTTTAAACGAATAGTCGATTGTTTATGACGAATTTCATTTGCATGGCAGGTTCGAATTTTATTGATATGTACAGCCGATTTTTTTAACTAATTCCGAAACTTTGCCAATTTCTAATTGCGAGTGGCAGGTGTTATGGTGCAAATCGTCCATAAAATTAGTTGCCAATTTTTTTGGTACTGATCGGCTAATGTCAGACCGAATTTCGTCTAACATTCGGCAATTTAAAATTTTGCCGAAATGGACTATTCTGACCAGTGAGTTGAGGTAGCTGATACTGAAAGATAAGCACATGTCAATTCACTCAATATTGGAAATTTTTCTTTGTTAATTTTCTACCAGAAAAAAGAATCAATATTAAATGGTATTTGTGGAATAGCAAGATATTCATCAAGTTCATTTCGGTTATTAGTAGGTGATAGATGATTAAAAATATTAAAAGGGGTTGATTTATAAAGTGTAGAGGATGGTGTAGGACCAAGAAAAGAAGTGGTAATTGTAACAGGCGTAGGAATTGTAGAAGACTGTGAATGTGATGACATACTAAGTTCATCTTCCTATACTTGTTTTTTAAAGAGTTCAGAGTTTGCTCCATTTCATATGGTGCAAAATCAAGCTTTTAATCTGAGTATCAAGAATTGATGGTAGGTATGATATTTCACGTTTATTTTTCCAATAAAAGAGTATTGCTTGATATAAAGTATCTTTCACTTTTTTTAGAATTCCTGAGGTTTGCATGGGCCGATTTAAATCTACATTTTTTTGATGCTCATTAGTATTTTTTTCATTATTAGGATTATTTGGATTGTCTTGATCTTCATTCCATACAAAGACATCTTCTAAATTTTCGATATTAATATTCATTGTATTTTTGTTAGGTTCATCAGGTTTAAACTTGTTAATGATTTCAGTTATCAAAGGTTTCATAATACTGTGAGTAGAATAATTACTACCTTTAAGATACTGGGTTGCTTCTTCAAAAGGTCCTAATATAGGAATTAAATCACAGAGTAAGTCCCATTCATCATTTGTTAGCATCACTTTGGTTAATCTTTGAGAATCCTTTTTTGAGTCTTGATCAGTTTCTTCAGCTAAATTAGCTTCAAGTGTACGAATATATTCTTTTAACTCTAAAAGTCGACATCACGCTAAGTAACTGGAATTCCAACGTGTTGGAACATCAGCAATAACATGCCTTAAATATTTTGCTGTTTTTCCCGCATCCTAAATTATATAATATAAATTAATATTTGAAAAGACTATGTAAATTATAATTTATTACATTATAGAACTACATGTAATTTAATAAAATTAAACTTACTATAGGAGTCCTCGAGAAGCTATTGGAATTCTAATATTACATTGAATTTAAATTAGAATATAATTAAAATTAAAATTAAAATTTAATATATTGTATTTGACTTAAACTTACCAGCTGTATAAATTGTTTTTGAATTTTTTCAAGACGTTCTGATTGTTTCAGATTCATAAAAAAATCAATAAGACGTTTAGCATGACCAACTAGTGATTTAATAGGCGCCAGACCTTTTCCGACTACAAGTTGTAACATGTAAGCAGTACAAGGCTGCCACATTATATTTTCTGCTGCCAACTCCAAATCTTTGATAACTTTTCACATGTTGGAACCGTTGTCTGTAGTTATCATAAAAGTTTTATCCTGAAGTCCCATTCATCTAACACTGCAAGTAATGTATCACCAATATGATCAGCTGTATGGGGATATGAAATATATTGAACCGAAAGAATAACTTCATGAAGTTGAAATTCAGAATCAAGATATGAACAAGTTATTCCTAGAAACTCTTGGCGATTACGTCCTGTCCAAAGATCACAAGTTAAGGATACTGCATTAGCGTCTTTTTCTAATTTTTCTATAATTAATGGCTTTGAGTAATTATATGCCTTATGAATAAGTAATTTTATATATTTTGGATTGGGTATTTGAAATTTTGGATCTAGTTGAAAAATTAATTGTTTAAATGCTGGACTTTTAAGGACTGTAAGTGGCTGAGAATCACATATGACCCAATCTGTAAGATGTTGGCACAATTCAAGTTGACGTGATTCTTGATGATAAGTTATTTTAGAAAATGCGTCTTTAATATTTTGATTTTGATTTATCTTTGTTTTTTAATAAAAAGCATAATATATTTAAGATTTTACATATACTGTATAATTAATAATTTAATAATAAAATTTACTTACATTAAGCTCTTCTTGTTTTTGAGTTATTCTGTGAATATTTGCAAGATGGTCAGAACAATTACTAGTTGACGTTTCTATCTTGTAAGTCTTTCCACATTCCTTCCCAACTACTACTTCTACTTTACAAACTGCATATCGTACTCCTTCCTTAAAACTAGGCTCAAAATATTTCCAAATCCAACTTCTAACTTTACTCCCTTCACGTCTTTCATTTAATTTTATTCTTTTTTGGTTTAGTTGCTCAATTTCTGTGTCACTATTATTATGAGTTCCTTCAACTTCAGTCATTATTATTATTTATTATATATTTATGTAAATTGTAAGTAGAAATAGATAACGCGTAATTTTTGTGCATTTATTCTGCATCATGTATTGCATTTTTAGTTTCTTTGTATAGTAAATATATGCATTTTATTACTGCTGATTAGGAATTTAAATTTATATTAATTAACCAATCATATTCACCAGATTGAACAGATTTATACGAATAATCTGATGAAAATCCTGTCAAAATTTTGTAATACGTATATCATCCTTTCAAAAAAACTCAATCTGGATTGTAGCTTAAATCCAGATTTGATAGGATGACAGGATTCTGGATGACCAGATCATATCTCTACTCTTTGTTTGATTATATACAATGAATAGGGATGGCATCGGTCAGTCATAACCGGTCAAGAATCTTTGACCGACCGACTAACCGTTTGACCGACTGGTTAACTGATCCTGAAAACGTTTGCAAAATGTAATTTAATTGAAATACTTAATAAAAAATGTTTTTGCAACGTTTTCTATTAAAATAATTAAAAAAATGTTTGCGAAACATTTTTTTTATTAAATTACATTTCGCAAACGTTTTCAGAATCGGTTAAACGGTCAGTCAAATGGTCGGTCAAACGGTCAGTCAGAGGTCTTTGATTGACTGATATCGGTCACAGTCATGACCGGTTATAACCAGTTAATGACCGTGACCGTTGCCATCCCTAACAATAAAGCAAAACATATTAGCCACCTATATGATTAAGATTAAAAGAAGTGAATTAATGATTTTTTTAAAAAACAAAAAAATTTAAAACAGTAAAACTTTTATTTACAGTTTCAGTTTTACCAAGCAAACTATCAAGTATTATTTTACGAATCTTTTTGTCAGTCACTAATCTCAATAAATCAGCACCAGAATGTTTTACCGTGTTGATATCACGTGGCGTGTTCACAGTTATATATAAAATATCACTATATCGTAATGAAGAGGCTGGTTTAACGGTGTATTCTCAATCTCAATTTTTCTTTCTTCTATGATGGCTGTCACCTATAAACCGCACTAATATTATATGACTTCAAATTTTATAAATTGTAAATTGAATAGTAAAAAGAAAAAACTAAACTGATAAAATGATAGAACAACATGTACTGAACATTTCTATTGGGTAATTTTATAGAATTTAATAAGAATTTTAATTAATATTATAGGTTAAAGTTAGATAATTTTAATAAATAGCTATAATAAAAACATAAAATTTTGGACTAGTTTTTATGTAATTTTTATGGATTTTATAAAAATCCATGGAAATCCACAAGAATTCCATGTAATATAGCAAAAAAAAAATTTTGCCGTTCACACGGCAATTATTATATTTTAGCAAAGTACTTTAAAAATAAGTTATACAATATAAATAAATAAAATTTTAAATTTCAGACTATTATTAATATTGTTGTTTATAGGTGACAACCACCATACAACTTTACTTAACTTATTAAGCAAATAATCCTTGTTTTTCAAATAACCTCTTCACTTTTCACGAACAAATGGAATATGATGAAGAAGAACTCATAAAATAGTAATGTTTAATTGATTATCATATAAGAATTAGATAAACTTTCAGTAAAAGTTTCAGTAGATAGCGCATATATATATATATATATATATTTGTATCTTTAGCTATTTTCTCAGTATGGTGGCTGTTACCTATAAACAACAATAGTCCAAAATTTTGAAATTTATTTATTTATATTGTGTAACTTATGTTTTAAAGTACTTTGTCAAAATATTAATTGCTGCGTAAGCGGCAAAATTTTTTTTTGCCATATTACATGGAATTCTTGTGGATTTCCATGGAACTGNAGTTCTTGTAAAAAAATTACAATCTAGAGGAATAGAATTGAATGGAAAGGAAAATAAAGAAGAATTAGTAATTAATCTAGATAAAGAATTAAATAAAGAAGTAGAACGCAAAAAATTGGGTAAGATTAATTAGCAATGATTAATGCTTTCGTTCAAAGTTTTTGATATTTGAATTATATAACATATATTATATAGAACCAGAAAGAATAGTTGGTGTGTTAGTAGATGTAACAAACAGCCAAACTATACGATGGTATGTTTTACACTCAATTTATTATACCAAAGATAATGAACATTTACTTACCTAATTGTTTATTCGTTATTTAGTGATGTCAAGGAAGTATATCCACTGCAAATCGGCTGGGCTCTAAAGAAGAACCAAAATTCGGTAAAAAGGGAGCAGGAAAAAGGATGACAAATCAAGTGAGAGCACTATTAGAAGGATATTTTATGGCAGGTAATGCAGATAAAAGTAACCGTTATACCACTCAAGATATGCAACGTGAGTTGGAAAAGTGTGCACAGGAAGGTGAGATTGACAAAGACGACATTCCAAAAGTTACCACAATTCAAAATTGGATATCAAAAACTACCAGAGAGCATCGTGAAGAGGCTGCAACTAGAGTTTTGAATTATAATAATTTGTAAAATTAGGAATAATAATAAAGATATTGCCTTAAAAGGTCATTCGTTACCAACAATTAAAAAACATAAAATTTGCAAAAAATGAAATAATAATAGGTTTATTGAGTGTATAACGTCTTTTGTGTTATAATAAATCATAAAATGAATAATTTATAACCGGCAATTAATAAGAAAGTTCATAATAGTTTTTTCCCAAGAATCTGCCGTCGCCACAAAGACAAGTTATTTTTTTATTTTTATTGGATAGGAAATTAATAATTCATTTGAAAGCTGTGGTTTTTCTGCTATAAAATATTGAGTAACATTTTCATTTTGTTACACTAAATGCAGTGATATCTTATCCACAAAAATGCCGATTAAATGAATTTTGTTAAGTGATCTACAAAATTTCACCCCATTTTTAGATAGTAATTTTCACTGATTTATAGCCAGATCTCGAATTAACTTTTTTTTAACTATAATATTGGCTGATCAATAAGATTGCCCGAAATGATAACACGTGCTGTATTGAATATAACGGTTTTAGCTTCAGATTACCTTCTTTTAGATGAAGTTAAAGCCAATCTTTAAAAGTTAATAAACCAATCTTTAACTCAATTTTTTCTTTATTTTACTTTTTAAACGAAACGGAAAGTTTTTTGACATTTCGTTTTTTTTATTTTGAATTTTTATTAAAATTTGTCAGAACGTTTGTTAACGTTCCGATTTATTAATTTTTTTATGGAAACATTTTTTCTTTAAAAAAAATCTACCAAAACATTAACTAATGTTCCGATTTATTAATTCTTTTATCGAAACGTTTTTAACGTTTTGAACACTTTTTTTTTAAAAAAAAATCTATAGGAACGTTAACTAACATTCCAATTTATTAATTTTTTATTGAAATGTTTTTAACGTTTCAAATACTTGTTTTTTTAAAAAAAATCTATAGGAACGTTAACTAACGTTCCTATTTATATTTTTTTATCGAAACGTTTTTAACGTTTCAAATATTCTTTTTTTTTAAAAAAACCCATCAGAACATTACCTAACGTTCTGATTTTTAAATTCTTTTATCAAAACGTTTTTAACGTTTTGAATACTTGTTTTTTAAAAAATTTATAGAAACGTTAACTAACGTTCCTATTTATCAATTTTTTTATCGAAACGTTTTAATGTTTCGAATGTTATTTTTTTTAAAAAAAAACCCATCAGAACGTTTGTTATGTTCTGATTTTTTGATTTTTTCTCGCCCTATAAAAAAAGTTGATCCGTTTTTATTTTCCATCTTTTTTTCTGTAAAAATTCATATTTCTGGAATTAATAACTGATAACCTTATATCATGGAATTTATTGAATTGTTAATATTTTCCATGACAGAAATAACAGTCGATTCCGTCATTCAGACACTATTTTGACTTGTATCGGATAGATCATTAGATCTGATGAATAACAGATTATCAGATCAATGATCTTTTTTTTTTATAAAAAAATAAAAAAAAAAGTTTATTTTTTATTAACCTTTTCACAGAACTAACAGAACGTCGGGAGGGGGGGGAGAGGATTTTTTAAATATTGGATGTTAGTGTCATTTACTAACATTTTATTTTCTTTTTTTTTTTATTGTAGAAACCTTCAAGATGCTTCAAAACTGATGAAACGTCTCGGAAGGTAAATAAAGAAGAGNTTTATTGTAGAAACCTTCAAGATGCTTCAAAACTGATGAAACGTCTCGGAAGGTAAATAAAGAAGAGGAGGGGGAATTTTTTTTAAATAATGGACGTTAGTGTCATTTACTAACGGTCCAATTCTTTTTTTTTTATTGTAGAAACCTTCAAGACGCTTCGAAACTGACAAAACGTCTCAGAAGGTAAATAAAGAAGAGGAGGGGGAGAATTTTTTTAAATAATGGACGTTAGTGTCATTTACTAACGTTCCATTTTCTTTTTTTTATTGTAGGAACCTTCAAGACACTTCGAAACTGATGAAATGTCTCGGAAGGTAAATAAAGAAGGGGAGGGGGGAATTTTTTTTTAAATAATGGACGTTAGTGTCATTTACTAACGTTACATTTTCTTTTTTATTGTAGGACCCTCAAGACGCTTTGAAACTGATGAAACATCTCGGAAGGTAAATAAAGAAGGGGAGGGAAATTTTTTTTAAATAATAGACGTTAGTGTCATTTACTAACGGTCCAATTCTTTTTTTTTTTATTGTAGGACCCTCAAGACGCTTCGAAACTGACGAAACGTCTCGGAAGGTAAATAAAAAAGGAGGGAAGTGTATTATTTTTAAATTATGGACGTTAGTATCATTTACTAACATTCTATTTTCTTTTTTTTTTATTGTAGGACTCAAGACGCTTCGAAACTGACGAAACGTCTCGGAAGGTAAATAAAGAAGGAGGGGGAGTGTATTATTTTTAAATTATGGACATTAGTATTATTTACTAACGTTCCATTTTCTTTTTTTTTATTATAGGACCCCATCGTCGGGCTGGTAGTGTGTCTCGCTACGCTCACCCCACCTCGGCCTCATGGCCTCGCAGTACCCACATTCCCCCTTCGTGGGGTAGAGAATTCCCCATATATACTACCGCCATGGCCACAGTGGCCATGGCTGGTCACAGTACTTTCCAACTTCTTTTTTTTTCTCCATTTTTTCTTATATATAAAAACAACTATGACCACTATGACCACTATGACCAGACTACTAAAAAGTGGATAGAAACACAAATAAAGCTGAAATCAGACAGAATATCCGATCATAGTACTGGCCATAGTTCGAAAAACTTATGATAATACTATGACCACCGAACTATGACCACTTGCCCCGAACTATGACCACCGAATTATGACCACTTGCCCCGAACTATGACCACTTGTCCCGAACTATGACCACCGAACTATGACCACCGAACTATGACCACCCTTTATCTACTTACCTGGAACACCGAACTATGACCACTTTATGTCCCGAACTATGACAGCCGAACTATGGACACCTTAGTCAGCCCCTCAGGCTCCAAAACCCGATTCAAGCTATGGACACCTGCCCCTCTATCTCACTCGAAAAAATATATTCGGCAATTACACGCAGCCACTTCTCTTGCCGAAGACCTTGGACTTGATCTTGTAGACATCTATGGAATCCGTAAATGGATCCAAATGCGGGCATCACCTCTCAATGACCCAGACATAGTAGCAGAGATGGTCAGAAACCTTCTGGTTAAAGAATTCAGAAAACATCTCAAGATTAACAGACTCTGGTACAACGGTTGTAAAGCCGAGTTGTGGAAGCGGCATAAAGAAGCCGAGGAGGCATACGACAGGGCAGTAGACCACTACAGGGAAGCTAATGATCCTGCAGAGTCATATTTTTTGTCCAGATTTTTACAAGGATTGATGACTATATAACCATATCATCAGGTATCCTTACATTTTTCAACAAGGATTGATGACCATGTAACTTCATTATCAAGCATTTATGAATTCTTAACATAAACTAATAAATTTTATTCCATCAAATTCATTCTATCTATTACTTTTTCAAAATCCTGTCTAATCACTAGTTTGAACCAATAAGATAGCAAATTGAATTAATCCTTTTCATCAGATTTTTCCAAAGAAATTCTTAATTTTACTGGTTTTGGACTATGTAAAAATACAGAAAACTTGCGAAATAAGTATTCATCTCTTATTATATTATTAGCAAAAAGCCATTGTAGTATATTATTTCCTTCTGTAAATTCTTTATCATCAAGTGGACATGATCTTAACATTAATAAAAGTTGATTCGTATATAATTTAGCCGTTTCTTTATCCTCTTCAGTCTGTTCTAAATCTGCTATTGTAGGATCATATGTAAATTGTGAAGTTTTAGAACTAGCAGTTGAAAGTGGAATACTATGAATACTTGATTTACTAAACAAAGCAGTATGTTGAGACATTGTCTCCTCAAGATCTTGAACAGATTTTTTGGTTGAAGCAGTATGTTGAGACATTGTTTTTTGAAGGTTTCAAACAGATTTTTTAGTTAAAGCAGTGTGTTGAGACATTGTTTCCTCAAGATCCTGTATTTTACTTTGTGCTGCTTCCTGCTGATTTGATAATTCTGTTATATCATCTGACACTCCCTTAATATCCATTGATGTATTTTTTAATTGCCAAGAAATTGCTCGCATTTGTGAAGCAAGCCCATCTATAGTTGCTTTAAGCTCTTCTACAGATGATGTACCACCATACTTTAGATTATTTGGAAGGTTATTTCCAACTTCTGAAGGTTCTGGAATAGTTTCTGGATAGCTAATTACTTCAGTAATTTTAGGTATACATGGAATTCTGCGATTCAGATGAGTGTTTCTATCTCGAGTACTTTTAAAATTATCTTTTCCACATTTAGGACATGGAGGCAACATGGTAAATAATATTACAACCACTCAGTAAATGTAAAGTGTTCATTTCTGATGTGTATGTTCAAATGGACGAATGGATAGATGGAATCCTAAACATTATTGTACAAATGGCTAGATGAACAAATGGATGCCATTCCATCCAATGCTATATTTTTAACGTATAAATGGATGGATGGATGGATGGATGGAATCCTGTACATTATTGTACAAATGGCCAGATGAACAAATGGATGCCATTCCATTTAATACACATTAGAAATTATTAGAGAATATTCAAAAATTTATTAGTTTATGTTAAGAATTCATGAATGCCTGATGATGAAGTTACATGGTCATTAATCCTTGTTGAAAAATGTAAAAATACCTGATGATATGGTTATATAGTCATCAATCCTTGTAAAAATCTGGACAAAAAATATGACTCTGCAGGATCATTAGCTTCCCTGTAGTGGTCTACTGTCCTGTCGTATGCTTCCTCAGCTTCTTTATGCCGCTTCCACAACTCGGCTTTACAACCATTGTACCAGAGTCTGTTAATCTTGAGATGTTTTCCGAATTCTTTAACCGGAAGGTTTCTGACCATCTCTGCTACTATGTCCAGGTCATTGAGTGGTGATGCCCGCATTTGGATCCATTTACAGATTCCATAGATGTCTACAAGATCAAGTCCGAGGTCTTCAACAAGAGAAATGGCTGCGTGTAAGTTCATCATTGTATGTTACTTATAGTTACCTAATCCTCAATTGCCGAATATATTTTTTCGAGTGAGATAGAGGGGCAGGTGTCCATAGCTTGAATCGGGTTTTGGAGCCTAAAAGGCTGACTAAGGTGTCCATAGTTCGGCTGTCATAGTTCGGGACATAAAGTGGTCATAGTTCAGTGTTCCAGGTAAGTAGATAAAGGGTGGTCATAGTTCGGTGGTCATAGTTCGGTGGTCATAGTTCGGTGGTCATAGTTCAGGACAAGTGGTCATAGTTCGGGGCAAGTGGTCATAGTTCGGTGGTCATAGTTCGGGATCCAGGTGAGTATATAAAGGATAATCATAGCATGAATCAGGTTTTAGAGCCCGAGGAACTTACTAAGGTGGCCATAGTTCAGTGGTCATAGTTCGGTGGTCATAGACGAAATGCCTGAAAGGTAAATAAAGAAGGGCGTGATTTTTTTAAATTAGGAACATTAGTAGGCATTACTAACATTCCATTTTCAAATTTTATTTAGAAATGATCCCGGACTTCGATATGAATTTTGGATCGGTAAGTTTCGAAAGTTTACTTAAACTTTCGAAACTTTTAATATTTTTTTTTAAAAAATAATAATTTAATTTTATTTTCTTTGTTTTTTAGGTACTACCGGTTCCCTTGGATTTGGATCAGTAACGGTAAATTTTGAAAAGTTTCGTTTGAAACTTTTTTTAATATTTAAAAAAAATATTTAATTTTTTTTCTGTTTTTTTAGGCACTATTAGCTATTGGTTCCGATCTTTAGAATTGGATCGGTAATGGTAAGTTTTGAAAAGTTTCATTTTGGAACCTTTTTTTAATTAAAAAAATATTTATTTTTTTTTCTGTTTTTTTAGGTACCATTGTCTCTGATCTTAGACTTAAATTTGGATCAGTAAGTTTTGAAAAGTTTCATTTCAAAACTTTTTTTACCGGATCCTAGAAAAGTTTCGAAAGTATAAGAATATGATAATATTAGTATCATAATTTATATATGGAATTATTAAATAATGTACTGATTTTTGTAATTTAATATTTTAATGTAAATTCTAAATAATTTTAAATAAAAATGCATTGTTAAAAATTAATCAAAAAGTAATCAATCAGTACACTGACATTTAATCAAAAAGTTATCAATCGGTATACTGATATGCCAAATAGTAAATATCTTATTGGTAACTATTAATACCTAATTGCTTTCTATTGAATATCCCGATTGGTACCCGAGTATCCTCCTTTTGCGCCATCTTTTGGCAGCAATCAGATTTACCGATTGATAAAAATTTTAAAAAAAATAGTGACCAATTGGGTGGAATTCGATCACCTGATTGGTCCCTGATTTGTCATTGTTCGACTAGTGTGAATTACATGATGATTCACCTGAAAACACTGATAGTCTGCAAAATATATCTCATTATTTATCTAAAAGTACTAACCAACAATTGTCAACATCAAATACTACTGATATTGGTCCATTTAAAAATGAACTTGAAATTTGCTTATATATATCACAACGACCAGAGCTTGTCAGTTTAACATTAAATATGATGAAAGCAAGTGGGCATGGACATGAAATAATTCAAGAAAAACCCACTAGTAGATTTTGCAAATTTTCAGATAATGTAAATTAATACATTGTTTGATTTATTATTTAAAATATAATTGATTTTTTTTTAAAAAAAAACTAGGAACTTGGAGTCTTACAATTGCATTTAAAGTGCCTATTTTTTCGTACAAGAGTTATAAACAATCAAATTATTAATGAGTTAGTGAGATCCTTATTCCCAAATATAGAAATGAACGGAATGTCAGATCTGGCTACATTGCATATGTGGGCTTTAAGAAGCTATCGTGATTATAATATGATAATTCGACGTGAACTTCGAAATTTGGTTCCTGAATTTATTAGAAAATACAGGTATTTGAGATTACTATAAAATTTATTGTTAGAATTAAGAATATTAAAACTAATTAATATTTATAAATTATCTGAATCAAGGCAGCCAACAATGCAACAAATTTCTGAATATATTACCGAAAAAGTTTGGATGTCCTTTTTAAAATGACATATGGATGTAATTGATAAAAAGAAAACCTTTAAAGATCAGCCTAGAAATACTACAGCATTTACAAAATTTATACACTCAGCATTTAATATGTTTATCCAAGAAAATCTTTTAGGTAAAGAAGTAAATGATACTGTTAAAAATTTGAATTACTTAACAGTTGATATGAAAGTATATACGGTAAATGGAAATGATATTCTACAACGAATAGATATCAGATCACTACTTAATTTGGATAGACAGTAATTATTAAAATAAACGTAATAGCTATTAGTTAATATCATTTATAAATTTGTCATATTGATGTCATCCTGTAAAAAATACTAACTATTAATTGCCAGTAAAATATAATAATAATGATATCAGAAAATAACATTGCTTTTTTTTCATTTATTTAAATTATACTAAATTATACTATTTTGGATTTTAAATAATAACGTGATGATCAACATTATTTATTGATGAGATATTACACGAACTTTTAACTATTTTGTTATTAGTTTCATTAAAGTTTATAGAATTTAATACAATTTGCTTTCAAAAACTGTAATGAAGCGAATACATTCTAAACAATCTAAACAAAAACAAAAAATTTCATTGTGAAAACGTGTAACACCTAAAATTACTACTAATAATATTCAAAAAGAAGCAGAAAGTTTACAACTACAATATATTGCTTCATTACATAATAAAAATGATAGCAACAAAGATTTACAGGATGGTTTATTAAATAATGATCAAGAATATGAAACCTTAGAACAATTTTGTAATTCTAAATCTGATTTTTCTATGTCTTCAGATGAATTAAATAATAGTGAATGGTCAGATACACTAGATCATGAAGCCAATCAAAAAACTTCAGATGACTTAACTGATAGTGAAGAATTAATTAATATGGAGGTTATTCAAGAAACAATAGAAGGTAAAACAAAATTTGAACCTTTGCCAGGTGAATATGGTCCTTATTTCCAGAATTTTACAGAAATGATGCTGTTTACTTGAATTACTAAACATATGATATGTAAGTTAAACATAGTATGTTTGTTTTTTTTTATAAAATTATTACTTGCTATTAACTTACTAATTAAATTTAATCATTTAGCAACAAAGGGGTATGATGATCTTATATGTATTTTAAAGCATCCTAATTTTCGAACTGAACATATAATTGAGAATGTTCGACGATTGAGATTATTATGTAATCGACTTCCACTTCAGACAGTAAAGAGTCATAGTATTTATATACAAAATATGAAAACTCCATCCACTTCAAAGCCTTTTAAAGATGCTTATACCATATCTGTAACTGAACATATAAAAAGAGTCTTGGAAAATGAAAATTTACAATCACAGATGTATTTTGGACCAGGTGTTGAAACTGATATAAAAAAAGAATTCTGGGACGGAAATTTATGGCAAGAATCACCTCTTTTGGTCAATTTTCAATATGGATAAATCAAGGTAACTTTTATAATTCAGAAAGTAATATTTTAATCTGTTAATTATATTATTTTTTATATTTTTATCTGAGAATGCATTTGTAACACTTTTGTCATATGTAATTTGTGATATATATTCCTTTTGGACTTACTAATGAAATTCTTTTTTTATAATATTATACTTGACCAATAAATTATTTAGTATTGTACACAGCAGGTTCTTTTGTTAAATACAAGGATAAAAGGACTAGAATTGGAAGAATTATAGCGATAGTTTCAACATCAAGTGATGTTAAATTAAAAATTCAGGTTCTTTATTATTGTGATGAATTACCAAATAATTTTAGAAAACTTTCTAGAGTTCAAGAAGCAGAAAATGGAGAATTATGGTTAAGTGAAGTAACATCTTTAATCAATAAAGACAATATTATAGAACCAATTGCAGTTTGGCTTCAAGATTCTTTACACTTATCCAATTATCAATTTTATGTTGAAGAAATTTTATATAGCTATGAAGGCCGATGGAAAATCAGAAATGTTGAGTTACGACATCATCATCCACAAAAATTCCATCCACTGCTCCTTAAAATATACCTACATTAAAGTTAATGTTAGATATATATTATGATGATTTTGGCACCTTAGTAGTATATAAATCCCAGTTCTGGCTCACTTTCCTCAGAGTCCAATCCTGGTTACCTTTTTCTTGCTATCCCCTTGTTGCTCTCCTACCGGCTGTGGGTCCAATCCTGGTCACCTTTTTATATTTTTCACCTACTTATATCACCTTTTTTATATTTTTACCTACTTATATCCTACTTATCTTATAATCTAATTCACTTATATCCTACTTATTTCATAATCTAAATCGTTTATTAATATTTTCACCTACTTACTCCCAACCGAACAAGAAATAGGATTTCAAAGCCAACAAAGCCAAAAAAGGTAAGGAAATATTAACCCATCCAGAAAACCAGCCATGGAGTCAATAGAGCGGAATAGCAAGGCAAGCAATTTCCCTTATACCGAGAAAAAATGTAATTGAATAAAAGAGGGACCTAAAAAGTATACAAAATGTCAACACATCAAGCAAGAAGTGCCCAACACAGACAAGTCGTCCGATCAGTTTTAGCTAAATTTATGCAGGTACCTGTCAAATCCATCCTATATCCCCGCTCAAATGCAAAATTGCAGGAATATGAGGATGAGATCCGCCAAATTCGTGAAGCACAAGCGGCGGTAACCAATGAAGAGATAACCCGCATGATGCAAATCGACCCAGACCCACATTATGAGGTAGTCTTTGAACGTCGTGATCAGGTACGTATAGGAAAGGAGTTAACAGACTCAAATTTTACGGCTGATATTGCTATAGGAACACCTGGAGAGCATGACTATGCTTCATTTCTCACAGCACACAGTCAAACAATCCAGAATATTCTTCGGGATGAACGAGATCGATTAGGATCAATAAAGGTCAGTAAGAATTGGAATATTTGCCACAATAATACATTTAGATTCTTACCTTGAGGGATTATTCGGAGATGGAAACTTTAGTAAAGATGATGGAGTAGAGTATATCTACAGATATAAAATACCATTTAAAACTCGCAATATGCCAATCCTACCATCAACAGATATTAATGGTACATTTAAATTTGCATTAGCAAGAATCATGCAGAAAGTAGAAGACTATGTAAATTACGGATCAGGTTGGGAATTCTATCGTGTAGAAAAAATATTCATAGAAATCTCGCAATTCCAACCACCTACAGGAGCAGAACACATACCACTCCCAAAAGATCTTGCCACGAAAAAGGGAGTAGTAAATCCAGCTAATGATGATGACAAATGCTTTCAGTGGACAATTCTAGCAGCATTACATCCAGTAGAAAAGAATGCAGAAAGAATTTCCAAGTATAAGGAGTATGTAAATGAGTTAAACTTTGAAGGTATTGAGTTCCCAGTACAAGCTGATGAGGTAATTCTAAGAAGATTTGAGCGACAGAATCCAACTATTGCCCTCTGCATCTGTGAATGGCGTGACCACTGCCTATGCCCAATATATGTTACCGATAGGGATGATGCAGAGAACCGTAAAATAATAGATTTAGTACTTATCAGTAACGGGGAAAAGCAGCACTATTGCTGGATTAAGAATATGAGCCGCTTAGTAAATAAACGTACAAAAAATGGACATGCAACATTTGTCTGCCGATAGTGTATCTCCCACTTCACACATTAAACAAGAAATCCATGACAAACATGTAGCAATATGTCGAGAATTAAAGAAAACCCCACAAGCAGACCAAATGCCATCAGTAAAGAAAGGAAATGATATATATGAATTCAAGAACTGGAAACGCCGCATGCAAGTCCCATATTACTTTGTTGCAGACTTTGAAGCCCTAGTAATGGACATACCACCCACAGATGAAGACAAAGATAAGAAAACCAAGAAAGTACAAGAGCAAATTCCCTGCTTATACTCGTATATTAAGGTAAGATACGATGGTGTAAGTAAATCACAGAAGATATTTACAGGAGAAAATGCAGCACAAAAATTTGTAATCGAAATGCTAAATGAGGCTGAAGCAATCCGTAATGAATTCAGAAACCCAATGGAAATGATGCCGTTAACNCGTAATGAATTCAGAAACCCAATGGAAATGATGCCGTTAACAACCCAAGAGCAAGTAAGTTATGATAATGCAATAAACTGCTGGATATGTCGTAACCCCTTAGATGAAAATAAAGTAAGAGAACACTGCCATATTACAGGAAGGTATCAAGGTGCAGCACATAGAGGATGTAATCTTGACTTATCCATAAAACCTCGTGAAATGCATATCCCAGTAATCTTTTACAATTTATCAGGATATAATGGACATATAATTATGCAAGGAATTGGTGCAATGGAATGTGAGGATGATATAGATCCTATCCCTTATAACATGGAAAAGTATATGGCATTCAAGTTAGGTTCCCTCCGATTTATAGACAGCTTACAATTCATGAAATCAAGTCTCAACAAATTAGCATCCAACCTAGGCGCAGAAAAATGTAGAGCACAAGAATGTAGTAATCCACAACACTTATGGCGAATTGATGCAGGTAGATGCTTTGCACATCCTGAAAACTTTAAGATAACATGAAGTCAAATACTACCTGAATTACTCGAGATTTATCTTAAGAAAGGTGTCTACCCGTATGAATACATGGATGACTGGAAAAAGTTCGAGAAAACTAGTTTACCACCTAAAAGAGCATTCTATAGCAAATTTAATGAAACCATCATTAGTGATAAAGAATACGAATATGCACAGTATGTATGGGAAAAAGCAGGATATAAAACAATGCAAGATTATCATGACATTTATCTCAAAACTGACGTCCTCCTACTAGCCGATATATTTCAGAATTTCCGAGAAATGGCCTTGAAAAAATATGGGTTAGATCCTCTCTGGTATTACTCAATACCAGACTTTGCATGGGATGCACTATTCTTCATGACAGGGCAAATATTGGATCTTATAACTGACCAAAATATGTACATGATGGTAGAACAAGGATTACGTGGTGGAATCTCTATGGTAAGTAAACGATATGCTCGTGCAAATAACCCAGATATGGGAGAAGGTAAATGGACTGCAGAAAAGCCCAAGTCATCTATCCTATACTTAGATGCAAATAACGGGCCATGTTGCAATACTTACCTACAGGTAACTTCCACTGGTAAAGGAGGAAAACGAGTTATCTAACATTCAAAAGCAAATAGAAAGTAATGAAATACCAGATAATTCTTCTGAGGGATATATCCTTAAAGTCAAACTGGAGTACCCCCAAGCCCTACATTCACAACATACAGATTACCCCCTTGCACCAGAACGAATGAAGGTTAAGAAGGAATGGCTTAGTAAAAAGCAGCAGGAAATAATAGCATGCTCAGGACAACGATATACACCCACAGATAAGCTCATTCCTAACCTATTTGATAAGGATGAATATGTAGTTCATTACAGAAATCTCCAGTATTATGTTAGCCAGGGCTTAGTAATCAAGAAGGTCTATGAAGCTATAAAATTAGAGCAGGCTCCATGGATGAAACCATATATAGAATTTAACACCGCCGAACGTGCTAAGGCTAAGAATGATTTTGAGAAGGACTTCTATAAACTCATGAATAATAGTGTATTTGGTAAAACTATGGAAAATCTCAGGAAACGTATACGTGTCTCAGTAGTACAACCCCAAACCCATCCCAAGAAATATAAAAAGCTTACCTCAGATCCTGCATTCAAGGGTTGTAAAATATTCTCAGAAAATCTTGTTGCAATCCACTGACGAAAAGTAGGGGTAATGCTTAACCATCCAACATATGTGGGTATGAGTGTGCTTGACCTCTCGAAGCTCTGTATGTATCAATTCTACTATGATATACTGGTCGAAATCAAAACTTTTGACCATTAAGAGCTTTCGGCATAATTTTTGCCGATTGGTCATGTGATTCGTCACATTTTTTGACCAACGGCAAAAATCGGTAAAATCAATCACAAATCGACTGATACTGATTGTTAAACGAAAACTTGTTCAGTCTTTTGGTGAAAAATCGACTTATACCGATTGTTATATGAAAACTTGTTCCTTTAAGGTCATTCAGTAAATTTTGCCGATTGGTCACATAAATCGACACAATTTTGCCAAATAGTAAAAAACATTATTTTTTAATTCGAATTTTATACTTTGTTTACATTGTTTATATTCAGTGCATAATCATTAACAAAAATTTTTATTGTAAAATGAATTTCGTCTTGTTTTTCGTCAAGTAATTATAATAAAAATACTACAAAAGAATCTTTTCGTAAAATGAAATTTCGTCTAATAAACGTGTCTCTCGTCAAGTAATTATAAAAATTAAAAAAATAAAAAAAATAATTTGGCCAATTTTTACCAAAACACTTAATTATTAACGAATTTGAAGTTTGCGATTAATTGGATTAATCGCCAAATATTCAATAGCATTACTCCGAGTAGAAATTCGATATTTTGATGGTATAAATCGACAAAGGATATTATGTACGGGAATAATACAATCGCGGCTTTCATCATAAAATTCAGATTTCCACAACTCGACGTTACAGCTCTCGTCTTCATCATCAATATGAAAATAATATCGACTTTCACTCGTACTAGCTGGTCGATACCAACGAATATATGCCAAATTATGTTCCATTTGTCCATTTGGCAAGTCGACTGTATGTTTGAAGAAGTATTGAATTTGT